GGTGTGTTGGAGCCAGCCACTGTCAGTTATGGGACTGCTTTTTTGTTTAGTTGAAGGGAGCTGATATTTGAGAGAATATAGTTGTTACATAGTTGAAAGTTTAGGTCAGTGTGCAGGAGAGAAACAGTCGAGTGGTTAGAATGCATAAAGATGAGTAGTGAGTGACTTGTTAAATTATGAAAGAACCATTGCTCACTTTTGGTATGTTGGAGCCAGCCACTGTCAGTTATGGGACTGCTTTTTTGTTTAGTTGAAGGGAGCTGATATTTGAGAGAATATAGTTGTTACATAGTTGAAAGTTTAGGTCAGTGTGCAGGAGAGAAACAGTCGAGTGGTTAGAATGCATAAAGATGAGTAGTGAGTGACTTGTTAAATTATGAAAGAACCATTGCTCACTTTTGGTATGTCTACACACAATTTTTATTTCGGAAGAGGGATGCAAATAGCGCTGTGCATTTGCACTTCCTCTGGGTTTTTTTCTGGAAGACGCTATTCCGGTATTTACCCTCGTCTACACGTGGCTGAATTTTGAAATAAACCCCTATTTCGAAAAACCTCTGTAAACCTCATTGTAGGAGGAATAAGGGGTCTTTTGAAACAGGGGTTTCTTTTGAAATTCGGCTGAATGTAGACGTGGGTAAATACTGGAAGAGCATGTTCTGAAAACCCCCCGGAGAAAGTATGCAAATGCGCAGTGCTATTTGCATCCTTCTCCTGAAGTAAAAATTATGTGTAGACATACCTTATGAGAACAACTTTTGGGTCCTTAGAGTGGATTAAGATTTTGCATGGAAATACCAGTTTGCCAGGAAATCCTTGAAGCCCTTGATCCAAGCTCTCTTCTGCTATGCCCACAGTTAAACATGGTATATAGCAGATTGAAAATTATTCATGTTAACTGGAACTGGAATGAATCTGGTAATTGAGAGCCTAGGATTCACCCTAGCAGCCACTGGATGTCACTGCTGCTCCTCAAAAATTCAACTAGGAAAACAAAGGCATTGGTTTGGCCATCACACAGTGAGGTGATGAAAAAGCGCTACTTACCCGATACAGTTTTAAGCAGAAATCTAAATAAAATGTAAGCTTCTGTTATCAGAGTATAGAAAGGTGAAGGGGTCTGATGAACATTGAAAACAGCAGACAGATTTTTAAAGTGCTGCTTTTTTTTTTACACTTCACTGTCTTCATAGACTTCATCAGAGAGAGAGATTAGACTCTTGCAAAATTAGATTTCTACTAGCAAATAATAGTTCAATGTTTAGGTAGAGACTGAACTTGTTGATTATCTTATACTAAGAACTCAGTGGGGAACATATTGGTGAAAAATGACAGAAAAGTTTGAAAGCCCGAGTTCAAGATGTCTGATGACAATGAACTATTGTGGCTGAAAGTCCTATAAATTGTACATCATCATGAAATTAATTACACTAGAAAATTTCCGACTAAGAAATTATGATAGAGTTCTTGTTTATAGAATCTGTGGATTTTTCTTCCTTCCTGGAGGTGGTGATTGTGCTAAGAGTAGTTTATTTTGATCTTCCCCGTTACATGTGTTTTGATGCACTGTTTTTTTGGAACGGTATCTTAAATGCTGGCTATGGCAGCTGTATAGCAAGAAACCAAGATTTTTAAAATACACATAAATCTGGGGGCAGATTGAAGCTGCGAAGGAAGAAAGCCAATATTCTGGGGCAGATGAGGAAGATTTTCTTGTGTCTACAAATATATTTTAGTGTTCATTGAGGGTGGAAAATATGGGCTTAATTTGTTGCTTTATCTTTACAGACTGAGAAGTTTTCTGTGAAAAGATAGTGATGTACATCTTGTTGTCCTAAAGATCATGGGGACTTTACTTGAAACTTAACAATAACAGTCACAGATCAGTTACTCATAGACTCCTAGGGCATCTTTATCTTTCCTGTTTTTAAATTTTCTTTTCTTATATGATGGAAAAATATAGTCTTCAAAAATCACCACCTCTGAGTGAGTTCAAGGAGATCTGCATAATTAGGATGTTAATGCTTAGAATGATTATTGGCTTTCATAATTAATCTTGTTCAGTATGGGAAGCTGTACGTTGTAGGTAGGGGGTTCTTTAAAGGAGTCATGCAATAAGACATTAGAAATATTAAGTACTAAAAAAAAGTAGTTTTCCAAGCAGTTTTCAAAAAACCATCACTGTCAGTATCTCTATTTAGTGACTGGGACTCTTCTCTCTCTGAGGGGCAGCCATTTTGTTGATACTTGTCAGCAGGGGCTCCATTTGATGACACAGAATAGGGTTGAGATGGTTTTGCCATAAAGAAAGTATTGGACGCTGAGATATTTAGAAGTTGCTGTAAGAAAGTTCTGTAAGCTCATTTTTAACATTGGCTTGTTTAGCTGGACAGTTAATACAACAACTTGTTTAAAAGTTGATGAAAATTGTTAAAATATTCTTTCTAAAGGCCAGTCAAATTTATTTAGTTTAGATAATCAAACAGTCACCTGCAGCTTCCTAATTATTACATATTTTTCTCTTACTCTTTTTTAAGATCCTTAGAAATTTTATGTACTGGTTTAAGTTGGGGTTTAGGTTCAAAGGAAATTAAAGGACATAAGCATCCAATACCTTTACATTCCTTTGAAAATCTTAGTATTGTTTTTTAAAATAAGATATAGTGATTAGAATGTGCCGCATAAGACAGGTACTTTCTGATTAAGTACATGTCAAGTTTTCATGCCACAGGCATCCAGTGGGTGGACTAAAACCACAGGTTCTGCTTCTGACAGGACTCCCCTTCTATGTGAGGTGTCGTGTTCAGACTGAGAATTTGTTGTAATTGTTTTGGTAGAAGGATGAATTCTTGCCATTCTCCCTGCTGGGCTTGAAGTGACTTGTAGAAACCAGGGGCTGGAAACATTTGCCCACTGCTCTAGATATATCCAATTTGGACTCTATGAACATGGAGCATCCTGAAATTCTTCTTGGGGAGAGTTCATTACAGCCAGAGAAGATAGGCTGCTTCCTTCCTATTCCTGTGTATGTTTGAAAGGCATGCACTAGTAAGAAGAAGGAGGATTTGCTATGAAATGTGTATGCAGATAAGGCAGTAGAGGAGATGGGATTTTTTTGTTAAGATTTTTTTATATCTCACCTTGGTTTGTTTTCAGGAAGGATTTAAAAAGTGATGGATTATCCCTTGGGGATCCTCCACATTTTTTACTAGGGTAGACACATGCCTAATTATAATTATGCCTTATATAAATCTTGGACTATGATATTTCTCAAGAGCTCACCTAATCTCTGTTGCCTGTGAAGTAGCTTTTATTTGTACTGCTTTGGTAGAAGTGGGTGGTTCACCCCTTCATCTATCATATGCACAGAAGAAATCAAGGCAT